TATATAGATGTATACAAAAACTTTCTTTTCTTTTCTAATTGATTTGATTACTTCTTCAAAGACAATTACCCGCTATGTGTCAAAAGATTATTCTTTTATCAACCTATACATATACTTTTCTTTTACAATTTATTCTACTCTGACACTATTTAGATGGTTTAGCCTCGATTCGTCCCTAATTGATTTCTCAATTCGTCCCTCGTAAATTTTATTCTTAATTCGTCCCTTCTCATTTCGTCCCTTAAAATTTTTTTCTTGATTCGTCCCTTCTCGATTCGTCCCTTCTCGATTCGTCCCTCAAATGTACGCATAGGCTAAATTATTCAGCTTTTAAATTTATTTAATAAACTTTGTAAAAAGACCAACACTAATAATTAACAATATATAAACAGCTACAATTCAGAGCCGTTTAGGATGCTTAAAAAAAGAAGCTCACTATCCTATATAAACTTACGGATATTTAGTAGAGGAGTACACAAAAATTCTCCGAAACATAAAAAGGCAGATCATTGGTTTCTTGGTGCCATTGGTTTAGCATTAATACCAGCCGACATTGTTGAAAGTACTTGGACGGATATTATGGATTTATACACCCCAGATGATGTTAATGCTACTGGATTCAATGATTATTTAGTCAAACCTATGTAGATATTAGGTTATATGGGATTAATATATGGAATGTGCATGATGCAATAATTAATGATTTACCAAGGACAAACAATCATGCTGAGGGGTACAATAGTCGTTTGGAAAGTAATTTTCCAAAACACTCACACATTTATCATTTTGTTGAATTGTTACGTGATGAACATTTATATCAACATCATAGAGCTGAAGAATTAGATATGCAAATAAGGAAACGAAAAAAATTAAACAATAATATTGATAGTAAATTAAAAGAATTACATGAAGAACACATAAAAGGAACAATAACAAATGCTGAACTGGCTATTAAATGTGGTAGGGTTGTTAAAACAACCCCAATTAAAACATGATAACTTCACGAATAATTGGTTTGTCTTGTGGGCATAATGGTATTGTAGCTGTTTATATATTGTTAATTATTAGTGTTGGTCTTTTTACAAAGTTTATTAAATAAATTTAAAAGCCGAATAATTCAGCCTATGCGTACATTTGAGGGACGAATCGAGAAGGGACGAATTAAGAATAAAACTTTTTTGGAATGAAACATATTTTTTTGGAAGAAAACATATTTTCAATTTCATTAGCAATTTCACTCGTGGCCAATACGTTTACCATTGGAAATACTTTACCTAATCGAGCAACTTCTTTAATAAAATGATGTGAATTTTTTTGAAATAAAAAAATATTGTTTTCTTTTTCTTATTCATTTGTCGCCCATAATTTTTCAATAATAGATACCGCTAATTTAGCAGGAGCAGCACTTGCAGCTACAGAAAATACAATGGCAACAAGTTTTAAAATTTCACTTTTTGACTTTTTTTATCTGCGGCATTAAATGCTGCTTGTAAAGTTCCGAAGATTCAGAGTAAAGTACCGAAGATGAAAAGCAGTTGGCATCCGACCAGTTAGATTTTCCACTATGTCACTGTAAAACAAAAAAGTAATAACTTTAAAAGCTGTTCTTTGTTAACAATTAAATAAAAAAACGTTGATTGTTTTTATATGAAGTGTCCTTGAGAGAAATGGCGACGAATAGTCACTGAACATCTATTAAAGAATGGCTATTTATTGAAAAAACTTATTTTTGCGGAGGTAAAAGTATTCCATTCGTCACTAAGATACTTAAGAATTAGATGACAATCGGTTCTCAAATTAAAATCTTTAACATCCGTTGATTGTTTCTATTGGAATATAACTCTGTTTTTATTGTATTGTTAAAATTGGATCTGAATAACGTGAGTATTACATTTCGTCGTGATGCAGAAGTTGCATTTGCCGCAAACTGGAAATACCAGAAAATAGAATAATTCTCTAAAACTTACGATAATAGGAAAATAATAACTCCACTTTTTGAACCCAGCATAAAGCCTCGCTAAACGTTCAGGAAAACGACGAAGGCAGGAAACTAGGAGATCAGGAACGTAGCACAGCAGGAAATTAGAAAGTCAGGAAAGCAGGATAGCCATTTATTTTTCTACCATGAATCAGTACCGCTAGATGCTAGAGAGCTCAGAAACATCTCATTGTACTCAGACTTTATTTCTCTGTCTAATTGCTATAGTTTAACTTGAACATGCTGGACAAATTTATCGAGGATTTACAAACGTTTTCTAGAAACCCAGCATTTCCGTGTAACCTCTTTGTTCAACTGGACACTACTGGATTCAGCATCTGCTAAATCCTAGAAACCCAACGTTTCAGCTTATTTGAAGGAAATATGGTTGAGTTAAGGACTAATCACCTGATGGATTTCCCGCCAAAATCACATTTTTGTAATCTTTTGCTCATATCTTCCCAACGAAAACGCTTTTCGGAGAAAACGAGCCATAACTCTGTAGTGCACGAGACGGCGAATCTTTTGGCACTATACTGAAGTGGCTAGCTCTTTAGAAGAAAAACTAGATAGACTTGCAAAAGTAGAAAATCCAGCTCGGACCACGTCTTATTTTCGCGCCTGCCCTAAATCTTGGGTGAGCTCTAACATTTTAAAAGACACATTACCATGCTCAGTTTTTAATTGAGAATCGCTCGAAAAGACTTTTAGAGCTTCATCTGTTTGCTCGAAAACATTGTGGACTGTCTTCGAAAAAGTCAGCGTTTTCCGTGTTTTCGACCTACCGTCAGTGTTTCGCATTTTTCTCCAGAAAGACCAAACAAAATCGAAAACACAGGTCAGATTCGGGATCAGCAACTCACGAAGAATCCGAATATGTGTGTTAAAACGAACAATAGAACTTGTGGAAACCTTGAATTACTGACACCTTATAATTACACACCAAATGTTGTGGACGGGTAAGTAGCCAGCCATGAGAGTGAGTCACTCAGGTGATTTGCCTTAATCACCATTGACATATTTTTCTGTGATGAATGTATCAGTGACTCCAGTAAAATATTGTAACTGAGGGTGAATTAGAAATAGATGTTCATATTTCGAGCATTTAGACAACAAATTTCACACAACAGGGTTCGAAAAACATAGTAGTGGAGACCAATAGGGAAAACTTCAGATTGTGAGTTTCGATGTATGAGTTCAAAGCTGAACCAAAAGTAATAATCGACATTTTATGAGATTAAGTCCATACCAATTGAAAATGGAACCACAGAGTTTTTACTTGGTGCTTCAGATTAATATTTAGTTATTTCAAATGACCCACTGGTACTGTCATGATCCACGGACGAGTCTAGTGTCTCGACGGAGAGATCAGGTATCTAATATTTAAGAAGATTTAATTGAATGTAGTTTATTTCCACTCTCATATAATTCGAATATTCAATCATTCTGAGCCAATATGATTTCCTATAAATAGATTAACTGGTATCAATAGTTTTATGAGTTTTCAGTAGAGCTATTACCTCAGTAGAACTATCTGGATTCCTTTACCGGCCTATCGATCGATTTAGACAGTCATAGATCGTCTACGGCTGAACTGAACCGGCTTTTCAACAGAATTGCCTTCGAAGACGTTTGAGATTGTTGAACTCTTCGGTGAGCGTACTCATATTTTTGTATAGAAATTTTCTTCTGTGTATTCAAATCGGATAATACTGTTTCAGGTACAACTATGAGCAAATGGACGTTAGCATCATGGCGAAATGTAAACAATCGCATTAAAACACTCAATTTATTTCAATCCTATCCTTCGCCTCAAAATCAACATTTCGTAGGAAATCAACTAGCTTCTACACGCTTGTTTATTGTTCTTCTGATAGCATCCATAATAATCCTAGTCGTTTACACCTCTTTAATAAACGTAACGATAAGCGTTACTGTTCAATCACCATCATTATCCACGTACAATGAACTGTATAAGAAATATTCAAAAACTATTAGTTGCTCATGTAAAACAACTTCGATTCCATACCGATATTTTATCAGCATGTCTCCTGTCTACCATCAATTATGTTCAAGTGAATTTGTTCAATCAAACTGGGTCAATAGTGGAGGAATAAACTGGTTAAGAATTGAAAGCGACTACTCAGCCATGGCTGATTTTCGATGGTGGGCAACGGCAGCCTTCAAAATGCTAGCAATGCTTTGCGACTTTTCTCAAGAAGCCATAGGAAATGGACTCGTTGACTTTAATTCAACTACTTACCTTACACCTGATCTCAAGTCATTGTCAATATTTGAATCTGAAACGAATGCATTCATAAATCTTTTTATTGCAGTCACAAGAAATGCATTTCAAGGATCAATAAACGTCATCCGTAATCTTACTCAAGGTGATGCTATTCAATCCGGTCTGTGGACAAACTATTATTACTATTTGGATTCTTTTATTGATAACGGAATAATCTGGACTCAAATTACTAGTGTGAATCAGCATTACGGCACATGTTCTTGCCGCAAACTTCCCACTTGCACCTCACCAGCGACTATCTATAATATTTCAGGAACACACCTGGGCAATGTCATTTTTCAACCACGCGGCCTATTAGTAGGCTGTTACGTTCTCGAAGCCTTATTACAATCCAATTTAGCCTGTATGTATGACCAGTTATGTGTAAACACTTTGCAATCATATATAAGTACAATTACCACCAAGGGACTAAATATGTCAGCACCTAGTCGGTATCATATAAATTCAGCTCTAGACGAGATTGTTTCTCTCCTGATGGTAGAAGAGTGGAACGCAAATGCCTCTTTCTCATTTTATTATAAACAGTGTGCTCCTCAAGAATGTACATATACATATTCCGGTCATAATAATGTCGTTTATATTGTGACAACGATCATTGGATTAGTCGGCGGTCTGACAAAAGTGTTACAAGTTATTATTCCACCAATAGTTAAATTTGTGAGGAAAAAAAAGCGACCTAAAGAAGAAGTTGCAGGTATGATATCCATCTTTCAGACACTTGAAAGCAAAGCGTGACCTACTTATTTCTGAAAAAGGTGTTACAGATTATTATTCCATGAATAGTTGAATTTGTGAGGAAACTATGGTAGCACTCTGCGGCGCAAAGTCAGGATAATTAAACATATATAAATATTTCTAATTTATGTAACGCTTCGTTCAACGCCTTCACGCGTGTTCCATATCTGGAAATACACGAAAGTGAAAATCATACACTATGAAGGACATTCATAGCACTAGCCACCGTCTTGTAGTTCGTTTCTTCGCAGTTTTTCATCTATATATTTTCAGGTAATAAGTTCAGCAATGTTTATCAGGAGGCCAAGCAATATGTGAAAACGTTTAATATAATAAAATCATATCCACCTCCAATCGATCCCCACGACATAAGAAATCAGTTAATATCAACTCGTTTATTTGTGGTTTGTCTGTTAGCAGCATTATTTATACTCACTGTTTACACGGCATTGATTGATGTTACAATAACACATACGGTTGCTTCGCCACCATTGGAGCAATACGAGAAACTGTACGAAAACTATCCCTTAACACTCTTCTGTCCATGTAAGACAATATCAGTTGGCTATAGCGAAATTATGAGTTTCAATCCAACATTTCATCAGTATTGCAGCAGCGATTTTGTGTCGCTGAATTGGATCAATTATTCAAATAGTCATGGCAACCTGGACTTTTTAATCTACGATTACCGATGGACGGGTCCAGTGTTATTCCAGTTCTTGAGAGGTCTATGTCAAATATCAAATGTGAGGATTAACGATGATTTGACTATTTTTAATTCAAGCCAATACATTACGGCTACTGTTCAATCAAAGCATTTATTTAACTCTCAAACACAATCGCTCATCGATCTTTTCGTTTTAACTACCACACAGACTTTTTTACAATCGATGAACATAATTCAGTACATAAATGATGCTAGTCTGCTCGTTTCCGGTCTCGGTACAAATTTCGACGTAGCTTTTTTGCCGTCAAACTCATTCTCAAATTCAACCCAGTTTTACTCAGACTTTCCTGATGACCACTGTTCCTGTTTTCAGTCAGCTGACTGTTCAGTACCGTCAACTGTCTATAACGAGTCGGATCTTTCCTTAGTAAATACTGCAGTTTTTGTTATGCCTGGTATTGAATGTGGATGTCTAATCAGCTCTTCGGCAATGCGGTCGAATTTGGAATGTTTTTATAATCAGTCCTGTATTGATATATCAAAAACGTTTATGCAATCTATTTATTCTTTGAATGTTACAGCAATGAATTCGTCAGCACCTAGTCGGTATCATATAAATTCAACTCTAAATGAGATTGTTTCTCTCCTAATGGTAGAAGAGTGGAACGCAAATGCCTCGTTCTCGTCTTATTATAAACAGTGTGCTCCTCAAGAATGTACATATACATATTCCGGTCATAATAATGTCGTTTATATTGTGACAACGATCATTGGATTAGTCGGCGGTCTGACAAAAGTGTTACAAGTTATTATTCCACCAATAGTTAAATTTGTGAGGAAAACAAAGCGACCTAAAGAAGAAGTTGCAGGTATGATATCCATCTTTTAGGAGACACCTTGAAAGCCAAGCATGACATACTTATTTTCGTTTAGAACCATTTCTTGCTTAATGTAGGACACATAACGAAGTTTTGAGAGACGTTTTTTTACCTGAAAACGTCTTTCTAAGGTTTACATTTGTCGACGGAGAAGTGTTTAGATCTCATGAAACCCTCAGTTGTGCCTATTGTTGTCGGTCAAGCTCTCACATCTTTGATTAGTTTTTGCTCAGTTTTAGGATCAACACTAGTACAATCAAAATTTCGTATCTACTATGAAAAAGTCAAACATATGATAAAAACAGTGAATATGTTTGCTCGGAAATCAACGACTGATGATGGTGAATTGAAGATTGAAGTAACAGCCACACAGTTAACAACCGTTCTTTTGATCGTTTCACTATTCGTACTTGTACTTTATACGGCAAGGCTGAACTTTACTACAACGATACACGTGAACAAACCTACTCTATCAGTATACAACGATCTCTATCCAAAATACAAGACTGCACTCATTTGTCCATGTTCTAACGTTGCCATCTCCTATAGAAATTTCATTAAAATGGAACCAAACCAACATCAAGTCTGTCAAAGCAATTTTGTGATGAAATCATGGATAATGTATCTTAAGACTCGAAAACAGATCAATTATCAACGCAACCAAGATTTTCAACTAACCAGTGGATATCAATTTGACATGTTATCTAAACTGTGCAGTCTAACTAATGTAACTATTACTGATGGTTTAATTAAGTTCAATTCAACTGACTACATTACAAAGGATGTTCAACCTTTGCAGTCGTTCGACAATCAAACAGAATCAATAATTAATGTATTTACTTCAATAACGTCAAACAGCTTTTATGAATCCCTCAGATTTATCCGAGGTGTAACTGAAGGAAATGTATTACTGTCAGCACTATCAATAAGTCAAAAATTTCACTTTACGCTCGACAATATAATGATAGTCGATTATCAAACATATAATGGTTGTTTATGTCGCGACACTGTAACTTGTACTCAACCATCTGCAATTTACTCAAATTCATCCTCATTTGCTGTCCAGGGTCTGCTCACGGGCTGTTCAATCATCGAATCTCTCTTACAGTCCGATTTGTCATTCTTCTATAATCAGACCAATGTTCAACTCTTAATGTCATACTTGACAGGCTCTCACTCACTAACAAACATAACAGCATTAAACTCATCTATACCTAGCCGTTTTGACGAGTATTCAACAATTGATCAAATGCTGAGAGTGATGTTCGTTGAACAATGGAACGCGAATGCATCGTACGAGTTGTATTATGATCAATGCGCACCGAGTGAATGCAGTTATACTCGAAATGTACAAAGCAGTATTATTTACATTGTGACAACTATTCTAGGATTAACGGGCGGACTGCTCACAGTCCTGAAGGTCTGTACGCCATTTATTATCAGATTTATTAGAAAGATAATATTACCACGGTTGAGAAAAACACAAAAAGTGATGCCACAGGTTATCTCTAGCGAATGATCAACATCATAACGTTCAGAAGCGTGCAGAAGACTGTTTTTATTCTGCTTGAATCATAAATTCATTATCTATAAAAATCTTAAAGTATTCTTATCGACTCTTCATATTAACTCTCAACACTTTTTTTACTTTTGGGAATAGCTTTTGACGTTGAATTCTTCTGAACTACATTCTGAAAATTTCTTTTCATCGTAACATTTATTCCCACTGTTTTACGTTGTATGTTCAGTAACCATTTTTATCAGTAATGTAAAGTAGAACAAGGGTTCGTTTCATAGTCTATTTGCTCTTGATGATTGTTGTTGATTTTCTTCAATATTAAACCTGTTCAATGACGCAGCTAAACATCGTTGCGGGTTGAATTGGTCAACATCGCCCTTTTCAATTGTTGTTGTTCATCTTCCTTTGTTGTTTGCTTCGTGCTTACCTTAAATAATGCTAACAATCTACAAATATCATCAATGCAGGAAATTGATAAAGCATAACGTGCTTTTAATATAATCAGACATATGCATGTTTCTTTTTTGGGGAAGAATCTCGTTGATGACGTAGAATAAATCAAACAGAAACTAGATTATAAAAAAAAGTAGCATCTTTGCAACCATTACTTTTCTTCACATGTGACTTGTTCTGACAATACACTTAGTAGCTGATCGAAATATAAATCGTTTTCATTTTGTTGATCCTCATTTTCACTTTCAAATTCATCAGATGAATTATCATCCGATAAACTTTTCCCATCGTATGTTGCAGCTGTTGATCCATGGTCTCATGTAGACGAATCTGTACCTTTTTCATAAGAAAGTACAGTTCGTTCGCCATCAGAAGCTAATCCATGGTCTAAACTATCTATATTCTCTGGGTCATGTGCTTGGGAACCATCCAGTACCGTTTGATATTAACTAAAAGGTTATAAGAAAGTACATAAATTTCTACTATCGGGAAGAATAGAAAATGTTTACTCATTATCCAAATACTCTACAAGCATGTCATATTGTTCATAAACATCACAAATGCTTTGCTTAACTTTTTTCTTTTGTCGCCATGTGGTAGTTCGCGAACACATATCTACAAGACAAATGAACAGTATGAGTTTTTCATAATTACCGAGTGCAGTTCTTTATTCGGCCTTCGCGTACAACAGAAAGAAGAAAAGGAAGATGTTTGACATTCTAGTATTTTTTATTTTCATCTGTTTATATACTGCTCAAAAAAAGAATATAAAAAAGCAGTTAAAAGATTTCTAATGCTCGGTTCTTTACAATCAAGCTGTTTGTTCTACAGAGGTACCGTCGGCTGCAACATCATCACCACCGTCAAGATAACTATCATCGTTATCCTGATTTTTTAACGTTGCTGTATTTTCTGGCTTCTTCTTAGATTTAGCACTGAAAGATGCTAAACGAAATAGACCATTGATTGCTTCTAAAAAAATCACGTTTTATTTTTTTTATAAAAATCAATTTTTATTTTTCTCTTGGAAACTGCAGTTTGACAAACACAGAAAGGTAAAATAGAAAGATACGAGAATATCAGATAAAATTTCTTGTGTAAAAAATGCCTACGTTCTAAACCATAACGAGCGGCTCGTGGAATATCTGGACTAGGGGTGTCACTTTACCGTTACCTTCCCAAGTAACAAGCAATAATAGTTATTACTTATTACTAGACGATAAAGTAATAATAGTATTTCTTGTTATTAAGTTATTAATAATATTATTACTTATTTATGGTAATAAAGTAACTTAATTATATTTGATTAACTGATTGTTCCATAAGCCGGAATGAGTAATAAGTTTGACGAAAACTTATCAGTTTTCACTGATGATTTTTTCTCGTTTGAGAATCTAGTCATTATGGTAGTGACCTTGGAATGGGTCCGAGAATGGTGTCTCAAACAGCCCGATCACTGAGCCAAACGCTCTTTTTCTCTTAAAGCAGTCTGAAAAAGTTATTTTTTGAAGAAAACGAATTTAATGAAAAGTCGTAAAAAAATATTTTCATTCAGAATTAATTGTATAATAATAAGTTGATATCAAAAGAAGTTATGCTTGGTTAGAATTCTACTAGTTAAGATTTTGCATTCGCATCTAGAGGAATTCGTCAAACTTCAAGGTAACCTGATTCTCATTCTCGGAAGAATTCGGTATGAATGGGAAATAAGTTGTTGTCAACAAGACAGAATAATTTAGTATTAGCAAAAATTCAGTTTAATTCAATATAAACAACTTGACCAAAATCAATTTAAGCATATTCAACTGTATGCATTTCACGAATGCAATTGTACTGAGCGGCTCTCATTTTGTAGCTTAAACTTTTGAACTTATAGCTTTATCTCTATAAAAAATCTTTTCCATCTTCGTTCAAGTTTTAAAATTTATTCATTTTTCACAATTATTTGACTAGATTCAATCATTTAAAAAGCTTTTTCTATACAGCTTCTAAAAATATTACCTCGAAATGGTGGCCTTTGTTTTCACTTGATGATGATTTTTATCTTGTTCAAGTGAATTGTTGTTTTGGTTCAATTGTTGTTGTCGTCTTGTGTGAATGGCACGACTTTGAGTTTTTGACACAGCTTTTTTTGGATTTTATTTTATCTGAAATGCAAAAAATTATATTAATTGATTTACTAATCTTTCATCAGAAAATATGAACAGTGAGATATGAAACATAGAAATGCTATCAGTTTTACATGATTATGAGGAAGTTTCATAATATAATAGAATGATTTAAATCTCTCCATTTTAGTGAATTGCATTTGATTGAATAGGAATAAAAAAATGAGTAATTGATGATGATTGAAAAATAAAAACAAATCTCATTAAAGTATTTGAGTTATCATATCGGATGGACAGGACATAATTTCAAATTATTTTCAATTGTGGTTTTCGCGTTATGTTGAAAGTACGATAAAAAGTGTGCAGTAATAAGTTCAATATTATTTTATTTTTAATATAAAAATAGCTTATTTACTTCTTTAGGGATTTGACAATAAACACATAGGGATGTAATAGAGAGAAAAACGAATTGCACCACGTATCGGTGTGATTAAGATAATGATAAGCATCAATCGCAAATGATGAATGGTAGAGAAATGTTGAGGCTGGTGTTTGACGAAAAAAATTTGGATAATAATCAATGATATGTTTGACGACATGACAACAATCGTCATACACTATTGTTTTGGGTAACCATGAGTCTGCCATTTCACCAGATTGAGGTGTATCACTGGTGAGTTCACCAGCAAGTACAACGTTGCAGTTAAATACATAAATGATAATCCCAAATGTTCGATGACAAGTAGAAATATGAGCTTCTGGTTTTGATTTCTTTGTATTGCATGACAATTTATGATAAGGCATACTTCGTTTACCATTACGAAGTAATATATAATCGTCATCATCTTCTTCGGCCAGATTTGTTTGTTGTGAATGACTTGTATGTATATGATGGGCACAATATTCCTGGCCACTTAGAGGACTTCGATCACATCCTATCATAAAATGTTCGTATTCTGGTGTTTCAATCGTCTATAGCAAAAATAAACACGTGAGATAAAAATATTTACACTTATGCATAACTTTTTTTCGAGTATTTCTTTTATGCATGATAATTATTCTAATTAATTATATTGAGAAATTTGTTTAACAGCAGCTTGTATTATGAAATGTTTATTTATTTAATTAAAGAATAAGACAGTAAAAATACTTTAAAAATATTATGGACATGTTTCCCTATATCAATAGCATTTTTAAGACACAAAAGACAAAAACATTATATGTATACAGTATATAGCTTGACAAACAGCTGATTTACATATGTTATATATGTGAGAAAACTATATGAATAAGACATTCTCTTTTCTTTCATCCCATATATAACATATGTAAATCAGTTGTTTGTCCGTCCACATTTATATAATGTTTTTTTTCTTTTCTTTGTCTTGAAAATACTATTGATTTAGGGAAACATGTCGACAATATTTTTAACGTTTTTATTTTTCTTATTCTTTAATTAAACAAATAAACATTTCATAATACAAATTGCTGTTAAACAAATTTTTCGAGAACTTATTGAAGAAATTTTGGTTGTCGATAATAAACTTTTAAAGTACAAAACGGAAGACACACGAATAAATAAGAAATTTCCCACAATCGTTATTTTTAATATGCTGTGTTTGAAATGCATTTGGATTTATCTTGAACATATTCAGTCATTAATGACTATCTGTTCTTAAAAACAAATTAATGAGACTGCTCGACTCTGCTAGAAGCTATATATGTTGAAAGAAAATACTAAGATCACATTTCCAACAATAAAGTATCAAGATGACATTATATTTATTAAAATAACGTCAGATTGATATCCAACTAAACAAACTCTGATTAGTCAAACTCAAAATAATAACAAAAATTACTCCTCACTGACGAAGTATTAACATCTTAAGATGTTCAAGTGAAATAAATTTAGACAGGATTTTCTGTGTTTTGTCATAAAAGATATCAGTTTTTCTTTGGATGTCATGTTCTCCTCTCTAAAAACTAACAGTTTTAAGTTATGTTGGATAGAGAAATTTACATTTTCTTTTGATTCACTATACCTAACATTACACAAACTGTATAAAGCATCTTTAAGTAAAATAATAAGGTGTACAATACCAGTGAATGAAATTTGCATATTATTCTTCTAATTTTCTGATTACCGTCTCCAACAATCATTTGGGAACAATGCTTGCCACACGAAGCCAAAAACTTGTGTTGAGACCAAAATTGTACGAATAATACATGAACAATACGTTGATATCGATAAAAAAATGTATCAATAATTTTGCCTGAACAATTATAAGGAAAGTCAACATTTGAATAACCCATGAAAAACAAAAAGTGAATAAGAGCAAAAGAGAGAATACTTCGAATGAATAAATTTCTATCCAACTTTTGATCATCATTGACAATTAAGCGGTGCTTGAAGTTGTAAACATCAACAAAAGCATAGATAGTTACAGCACCAATAGCAAACAAAATAAGATAATCTTTTAGTAAAGATGTTTCGAATGCATATTGTCCGCCAAAATACATATATTTTGATCCGGTAACGTGCGATTGTGTGAAACGACGTTCTTTCATCCAACTGGTTTGAATAATATAGTAGGATGGAAAATAAATAATTGGATTGGCATTGGAAAATTTAGTATGATCATGCTTGCACGTATAAAAATGGACAACAGCATTAACGATTTCACCACTAGAAAAAAAATTAAAAGATGCATTTATCGTACTCGAGATAAATCTCATATATTTTGTTCGAAGAAATTTTTTTCCTATTTTTTCATTTTTATAAGGATATTTTCTGTATTTTCATCTAATATTCAAAATACAATTAATATAGGGAAAATAAGACCATGTCTATAAGTTCAATATACTAGAAAGTATATTAGTAAGAGCTTGTTAATATCTTTTTTGAGACGAAATTTCGAAGAATCCCCATTGGAACTTTTAAATACTTTGGAATTAATTCAAAGTAATTTCGAGATTCAAAGGAATTTGAACAAATTTGAAAGGAAATTCGTTCACATTAATTTAAAAAACTTTTTGGCGTTCAAAATTAATGTGCATCAATTTAAATCTTTAAATAAATGAAAAAAAAATAGAAAAATATACTTCAAATTAATGCGCATTAATTTGATTCATTTTTTCGTGAAAAAATTAATTTCCCTCGTTACCGCATTATACAAAGGCTCATATTAAATT